TGGTTGCAAAACCGGTACCATTTGGTCCAAGCGATGTTCGAGTAATTTGAGACAATTCGCGAGTAGCAGCAATGTTTCTGTACACGGCTTCGTCGAGTCCTTGCATGTGCTGTTATGTTTATGAGTAAGGTGTTATGAACTGTCCAATATTGAGCCGTTCGTCCCACCTTGTACCCGTCCTTCAGCATTGTGTTTAAACCCATCTTTGGAATCTTGAGAGCCATTTTTGCAGTTTTGAGTTGATGTTTGGGCGGAAGTTGTTGTTGGTGGGTGTTTTTTTTTTTGTGGTTGAATCTTCACTTCACCCCTTTTGTCAAAATCAGAACGAATGCCAACAAAGCTCCAGCTGGCACCAAACTTTATTCGCATTATTGTTGTATTTCTTGCAAGAGATTTAGGGCTTCTCCATGACGTTCAATAAGTTTTCTCGCAGAAGTTCGACCCAAGAAAAAAGGAAAATAGAAGATATAAAACGCCTTTTATTTCTAACTCTCAGTAGTGGATGGATTTGAATATGCCTGGTGTTCCACTTGGTTTGATTAAGTATCAACAAAATAACTGAGAAAACCTCTTGTCAATCCAACAAACACCCAACCACCACACCGGAAGAACGATGGCCACTGCAATGCTCTTTGTTTTTCTATTTGCGTAAGTACTGCTCTCACCAGTGGAAGGAGAGAGGACACAGGCTAATCATCTCTCGCACATAACTAAAAGGGTCCTCGCAACTCTGCTCGATGCAAACTACAACGCCCTTGCTGCTTCGACTCACTCATTCCTCCGATTAATCGTTCCTTCAAAAGCTTCTGCGCAAATTGCTAAAATCAAGAAGGATCTCATCGAGGCCAAAAAGACCATGAACTCTATTTCTGCGCAGGATGAATTTGCTAGATGGGCAAAAGAAAGGAGAAAGCATGATAAGTTGGAAAATGAGTTTGCTGCTTTGGGTAAGCTCTTGGGGAAGGTTTCATCTGAGTGTTTTGAACGGATTATGGCAAATTGGACGGATGGGAAACACACATATGAACATCGATGAAAAAGAAATAGGAAGATGATGAAAGTCCAATTTATGGACGAGGCGGCCAGAGGGAAGCTTATGATCCAACATTAATAACCCCTTCCCCGATTAGTGAAAGCTCAAGGATCTGAGAAATCTTCTTTTGAGCGTACCGTCTCTTGGGGAGTTTGGATCGCTGTCTGGATTCTTCACATTAGTATCGTGCTGACGTACAGAAAGACTCCAATGTTCTTTGTTCCAACTGGGTTTGTTGGTCCGTTTTCCCGAATGCTCAGTATGCCGTTTGCTCCGGCTGGTATGTGTTCTTCTAAACTGTTCAATTAAATGTTTATTCACCGTGAATACAAGGCTCAGTGTCGGTCGCCTTTTGGCTTTTTGCCTCCAAGAATGTCATCAAGAAAGTGTTGACTGCAACTAAATTGATTGCCTCGTCCACTGTTGCGGTTGTATCACCTGCCGCTGACGCTGGAAAGACTGTCAAGACTGAATGAAATACAATTGTTTCTGCGCAATTTTGATAATAAAGCTCTTCATGGCTGACTTGGGCTTGTTGAGGCTTGATGGAACAAAATCAAATCCATGAAATGACTTAAAAAGCAGGAACAATCGCAGTCGCCTAAGACCAACAATGAGTACGTCTGAGGAGTTTATGGTATCTGATGTCGCTCCTGCTACAAAGGCTGAAGATTCTGATCAAGCCATTCCTGGAGATTTGGATGCTATAATGATTCCGCTGCCACGAATTCAATTCATTTTGGTCTTCGTTGCTACTTGTGCTGCATTTATGGTTAGATACTGCTTGTTCTACCTTTTAAGCCTCGAGGTGACATAACATCACAACAGCTGGCCGCCCTCGACGGAACCATAGTGTCAACTGCTCTGCGCAGCATTATCGAAGAATTCGGCGAGCAGGAAAAGGCTCCATGGATTGGATCGGTTTTCCTTCTTTGTGGTTGCTCGGTCGATATCTTGTAAGGCCAACCATCATGCCAAATTGGTTTCACAAATCTAACCTTGACATACTACCAAGGTTCGGGAAACTTGCTGATGTTTTCGGCCGCAAGTGGCCGTTTGTGGCTTCGATTATTCTTTTTGTTTTTGGCTCTATTCTATGCGGTGCTTCCACTTCTATGGACATGTTAATTGCGTCCCGTGCGATTGCAGGTTTTGGAACGGGTGGAATTTTTAGTCTTTCTACAATTGTAGTATCGGATATTGTTTCTTTAAAGGAAAGAGGTATGATCAGATATTTTTTCTCTGTTATCATGAATCCTGAATCAACTGAGTCCAGGAGCTTATCAAGGAATTATTGGCGCGATATTTGGTGTTTCGTCGATTTTAGGGCCCGTTGTTGGCGGGGTGCTATCTGACAAGATCTCATGGCGTTGGTGCTTCTACCTCAACGTTCCTATTGGCCTCTTTTCCATTCTCGTTTTTCTCTTCTGCTCAATGCCAATCCCAGAAGGATCTTTTGCTCAAAAGGCAAAGAAAATTGACGTGGTCGGAACCTTGGCGATATTCGCAACTCTCACAGCCCTTCTCCTTCCTATTCAAATGGGAGGAACTGTATGGCCTTGGAAAAGTGCCCAAGTCATCGGAAGCTTCGCAATTTCTCCGTTACTGATTGGATTCACAGTTTGGTGGCAAACCCAATCCACGAACCCAATGATTCCATTCGAACTCTTTGAAAACCCAAGCGTCCTGCCGCTTCTCCTCATTGCTGTGCTCTTTAGTGCTGTGTTTTTTGCCTGGCATATTTTATGTCACGCTCTTTTTTCAAGTCGTTAATGACATGTCGGCAACAGCTGCTGGCATTCAACAGCTTCCCATGGTCCTATCCTCTGTCATCACAACAATCTTGTCTGGACTCTATGTTTCCAAGTACTTGTCTTATCTTCCATTTCTGTACATTGGTCCAGTCTTCATGATTCTCGGTTCTGTTCTGATTTCACTCTTTTCGGTCAACACAACGTTAATACAGCAAATCGGCTTTCTATTTCTTTTCGGAGTCGGAACAGGGTCCTTATTACAGATTCGGATCCTGGGTGTTCAAGCAAGTGTACGACCTGACCAAGTTGCCATGATCACGGCAATTAGTAACATGTTCAATGGTTTTGGTGGTGCACTTGGAATTGCATTGATTGGCACTGTATTCAACAATTTGTATTCTGGCAAAGTCGCGGAGAGTGATTTGCTTGTGGGATACATTGGTTCTTTGGAAACTATGCTTCCAGAAGCAAAGTTTTCGGGTTTGGATTTGTCGCAGCCATTGGTTTTGCTAGAGGTTTTAAAGCAGCTATTACCGACACAACAAGGAGCAATCGCTGCTGGTATTCAAAATGGCGTGGATGTCCTCAAAAATGCATTTGTGGACTCATTTCGTGTGGCTTTTTTGTGTTTAATTCCTTTTGCGGTCTTGGTAGCTGTTTGCGCGTTGTTTGTCAAGGATGGAATGAAGAAGATGGCTGAAACAACAGCTGATGAAGAGGTGCCGTTGGAAGATGTTTAAATCAACGCGAAGACTGTAATAAAATCCAGTCTATTCAAATGTATTGACTCGTTTATCTTTCAACAAAATAGCAACGGTTCTGTCATGATTGCCCTCCACAGCCCGCCTGAGCGCAAGATTGTTTTGAGCACCTGGATTCACCCGAATATCAGAAATCAATAAGGAAACAATCAGAGAATGGCCCCTAGCAGCAGCCAGAATGATAGCTTCATTATCTCTTGCTCCCGGATCAACGCGAGAGTCCGCCAGTAACATGGCAACAATTCTTGGGTTTTCGGAGATTGCTCCAGAAGCCAATAATAGAGGTGCATTGTTTTGGGCAGAGGCATTAACCCTAGAATCCGCCAAGAGAAGTGACACAATGTTTTCATGACCCTCTCTGGCTGCCAAACATAAAGCCTCATTATTTCTGTCCCCAGGGTCAACGAGAGGATGCTTCAGCAACACTTCAACAGCTTCACGTAATCCACTAGCTGCTGCAGTTTGAATGGCACAGTTTTCAGAAACACTGGGGTCCACACGAGGATCCATGAGCAAAATCTTCACGATTGAAGGAGGACCGTATCCACATGCTCGCATCAGAACTGAATTTGATCGAACCCGTGGATTGACTCTCCCGTCCTGTAAGAATAACTGGACCAGAGGAGAGTGACCAGAGGAGCAAGCATCCACAAACGCACTCGATGCCATTGCCGTAGGATTTACATGAGGGTTTTGTAAAAGCATCTTGACAATTTCAACATGTCCATTCTTGGAAGAATACCGGATGGCGTAATTGCCTTTCGCAGCAGGATCAACCCTCTCATCCGCCAGAAGGGCCTTCACAAAATCCGTATATCCGAATCGAGCACATGCAAGAAGAACACAGTTATCTTCGACGCTTGGGTCTTTGTGAATCAATACCCATTCAACAACTGCTTCAACGGCCTTTGTGTATCCAGACCACGCAGCCCACTTCAGTATTGTCGAAATACTCGCTTTTGATTTCAGGAAATCATCTCCTGTCCAGCAAATACTGAATAGTATCTCTGCTTTTTTGATCGGAAGCCTGTTGGCTCGTTCTCTTGCAAACGACACCAACGAGTCACTTGATACAACCAAAGACAGGATAGAAGACTGGTATACAATTGGAATTGATTGATTGCGAATATTTTCTAGGAGAAGAAAGTAGAGCTTTTTGATATCCGATGGTGTTTGAAGTTGGCGTAACAAGTGCTGTTTGGCGCTGTTATAATCAGAAATAATCCTGTGCCAATTGTGACTGAGATACGACAACTGGCACAGAAGCGGATTGATCGGAAGATGCTGCAGGATAAGAACGAGAAGTTCAGGCGGTAGTTGGCTCAAACATGCCATCAGATCTGAGCCAACTTCAGATCAGATTTGACGTTGAAAAACAGCATGAAAATAAAAATGAAGGCGATCCCTAATAACTTAGACAAAGAACACCGCATGTGCTAATACTACGCAATACTCCGAATCGGGGAATTGAACCCCGGTCGCCGCCGTGAGAGGGCGGAATCTTGGCCACTAGACGAATTCGGATACTGCCTGCGCTTGATGTAACTAAATATGATTGAAAAATGTACCAAATGGTAATGTACATTAACTCTATCAATTCGTATTAAATTCGGTTTGGGGAGTGGGAAGTCATTCAGGAAATTGGAACCCATTATGCACCTGACAAAGTTCAAGGACAAAGAGAAAGTCCGCCCATAATTTTGATTGTAACACCTCATTTCCAAAATCAACAACAATCAAGAAATGACCTCACCAGATTTCAACTTCTCTTGGGCCCCTAAAGCATGGACACTCGCTCCAGCTGTACCTGCCTGGACTCGATACTTTGCAAATGCAGTTCCAAATCCAGATGTCAAAGACGATATCCGCATCTGTTCTGGTTCCAGTCCGAAACTTTGGGCGCCAAGCTATGATGATGGTCCCAGTCCGTTTACACATACAGTAACCGATTGTAAGGCTTCGTTATGATTTATCAATATGTGTAAAGCGATATTCCAGATCTCAAATTAAAGAACCTGTACGGAACTTTCTACACGATTGGATCTGTCGCAATACAATATCCGCAGACTATGTTTGATACTTATTCGGCTGGGCATGAAATTGGAATCCACACTTGGAGTCATCCAGATTTGCGAAGCGTTGCTGATGATAACCAAGTGATTGCAGAGCTTGTGTACTCGGCGAAAGCAATGTATCAAGTTACAGGCAAGATACCAAAATATTTTCGCCCACCATATGGATATTCAAATGAGCGAGTTCGGCGGTTGGCTGCAACGATGGGATTGCGATCTGTTTCCTTTAACTTGGGTCAGTTACAGTTCTCCCAAACCCTTTCTTTCACTAGTTTGTCTGATAATCGTTATTAGATTCGCAAGATTGGATCTACATGGCGAATACTTCACAAGTTTCCTGGCGTCACAGCCAACTTCAACAAGTGGGTAGCACAGGGCGTGACAAACCAAATAACTCTGCAACATGATATTTACGCGTATGTGCTATATCTTCATTAATTGGTTTTTTGAAGCTGTTCCTAAAAATTACAAAGTCCTGAAGCAAATGCCGCCGTGGCATCTCTTGATATCCTTGTCAAGGCAGGGTACACTATTCAACCAGTGTTTAAGTGCCTGGGCGACTCAAGTCCGTACGGGAATTCGGTGCTGGAATCATTTTTCAATTCAGGAATATTTGAAAGTCGGAATTTTTCTCCTCCTGTTCAGTCCCTTAATGATTCCTTATCGTTTGGTATTGGAAATGCAACTATTGTTGGACTTGAGAATGTCGCTGCTGTTGAAATAACAGCCATCCCAACAAAGAGCCTTGCCTCCCGCGTCGTCACAGCTTCCGTCTGGATGCTTCTTTTTCTCTTCATTTCTTGATATCAATTTTGTATGTAATTAGTTAAATCATCATGAATTTATGGCACTTTGTTTTAAAAGCGGGGATTGAACCTTTGCGACTTTTTTATTGGATGGCGATGCCACGCTGAGAAGAAAAATCTTAACAAGGGATGAGCACAAGTGCCAACAATTGGAACTTCTCTTGGGCACCTAAGCCTTGGACAAGGGCGCCTGGGGTTCCCGCTTGGACAGAATACTTCCATAAGGCCAACGGGGATGCGCCTGTACCAGCCGATGATATTCGGCGATGTACGACGGCGGAGCCAATGGTCTGGGGAGCAACCTTTGACGATGGTCCGTCTCCATTTACCCCAGAATTACTCGAGTGTAAGATGGATCTTGTCTGCCCGGCCCTGCTATGACTGCAATTTTGATTGTCTTTTTTAATCAACAGACTTCAAGATTAAGAACTTGAAGACAACATTCTACACAATTGGTTCAACGGCCCTGAGCCACCCTCAGATTATGCTTGATACCTTCAATGCGGGGCATGAGATTGGGTACTGTAACTTTCACAAGGCTTCGTACCCATTACATACAAATTATTAATACCCTAAATCCACACATCCACCGTTTCGAATTCAGAATTCACACTTGGTCTCACCCAAACCTTACATCCGTTGCCTCAGACGATGAAATTATTGCTGAGTTCGTTTACAGTGCCAAGATTATTCATCAAGTGACAGGACAAGCCATACGCTACATTCGCCCACCATATGGTTCATCCAATAGTCGAGTACGCAGACTGGCTGCTTTAATGGGCCTAGAAGTGGTTTCGTATTTGGATGCTCAAGATTGGCTGAATTACAACGATCAAGCAAAAATGGAACCAGTCGTTATGGGCCATGTCAGGAAATGGATTTCGGAAAAACGAACAAAGGAGATTTCCTTGACATCATGATATGTACAAGTAAGCGTTTCGGCTGCCAGATATTGGATTCTTTTCAAATTAACCATCAACATAATTTTCGGTAACTCGTAATAAGCCCACAAGTCAGGTCTCCAAAAAAGCAATGGACAGTCTTATTTCGGCGGGATATACCTATAAAACCTGTTTATCAATGCCTCGATCAAGCATCACCGTACGGAAATAGAATCTTGGAGGGATTCTTTCGATCTGGCCAATTCGAGAGTCGCAACGCAACGATTCATCCCCTCATCTTAAATGAGTTGTTCGTATCTAATGCTGGCAAGAATGCGTCGTCTGTTGTTGGGGCGGAAGTTACCCCTGTTCCTCTGACCAAGACCACCAGTGACGCTAAAAAGATTGGAGTCCTTTATTTTATTCGCCATTTTTGCTATAGTTTGAATTGCATTAGAAACCGAGTTCATGTCTATAGATTATGTTTGATTTTGAGTGTAAACTGTATCTCATTTCCGTTACAAGCAAGCTTAGAAAAAAAAACTCCGAGTCTGTGATGAGTACCAAGTACGATTTCTCTTGGGCGCCGAAAGCGTGGACAAGGGCCCCCGGGGTTCCATGCATGGACAGAGTACTTCAACAAGACGAATCCAAACTTTACAGTTCCAGCCGACGATATTCGAAGGTGTTCAACCTCAGAGCCTTTGATTTGGGGCGCTACATTCGACGATGGACCCTCGCCATTCACTCCAGAATTAGTGGCATGTAAGGAAATAGTTCTTGTGATTGTTGCTTGGAGTGAAAACTTGAAGGAGCAGATTTCAAAAGCAAGAACATGAAGACAACCTTTTACACAGTCGGATCGACCTGCAATCAATTATCCGCAGATTATGCTGGATACTTTTAATGCCGGTCACGAACTTGGGTATTGTTGCTACATTGACTAAATATTTTTGGATTAACACTTATGTCAGAATTCACACTTGGTCCCACCCGAATCTGACTTCTGTCGCTTCAGATGATGAGATCATTGCCGAGTTCGTATATAGCGCAAAAGTGATCCACCAAGTAACAGGCCAGGCCATTCGATACATTCGACCACCGTACGGTTCATCCAACAGTCGAGTTCGGCGTTTGGCTGCTATGATGGGACTCCAAGTCGTTTCGTACCTAGATACCCAGGATTGGATGTATTATAACAATCAAGCACTTATGGAACCATTGGTGATGGGCCACATCAGACAGTGGATAGCTGAGAAGCGTACTGGGGAAATATCACTGCAGCATGACGTATGGCAGTATGTATTATGATGCATCATTCATTCGGACGTATTCTGACATTTGAGTATTTTCCCAGACCTGAAGTCACTGTTGCTAAAAAAGCTATGGACGCGTTGATAACTGCTGGATACACCATCAAACCGGTGTACCAGTGTCTTGGACAAAATTCTCCATATGGAAACCCAATTCTGGAGGGATTTTTCAAATCTGGGCAGTTTGAAAGCCGAAACGCCGTGATTCTTAAACAAGTGGATGATTCGATTGGATTGGGATTCAGCGGAAATTCATCGATAGTTGGTATTGGTGACAACAGTACGGCGCCATTTATTGTTGCAACAACAGCAAAGAGCGGATGCTTCGGTCGTTTCTCCGGGGTGCTTTGGGTGCTGTTGCTTGCGTCCATGATGTAAGATATATGTGTGCGAATGAAGATGTTGGACCAAATAGATAGGAGTAAATGAGAAATAAATTAGAGTTGGCTTTCATAATTCTTTTTTTAGTTCTGAATCCTCAGTCATGTCAAAGTAAGAATTGGCTGAACTTTGATGGTACAAACCACTAACCCCTCCAAATACCAAAGTTCTTACGATTTCAGCTGGGCTCCAAAAACTTGGACAAGAGCCCCTGCGGTTCCAGTTTGGACATCTTACTTCAACAGGACCAATCCTCACTTGGTCGTTCCAAAAGACGACATTCGAAAGTGCACAACATCAATGCCGAAAGTTTGGGGTGCAACATTTGATGACGGTCCGTCTCCTTATACTCCGCAGCTGATTGAATGTGAGAGGCGACACGATTGGGAAAGCGCCAAAAATCATTATTGAATTCATCTAAATTCTAAAATTAGACTTCAAGGAGAAGAAGATGAATACCACATTTTACATTGTTGGTTCTGTTGCTTTACAGCATCCAAAAATATTGCTGGATACTTACAACGCTGGCCACGAAATCGGGTAAGCTTTCGGATGTCAAATTTTGTGTTTCACTGACCTTTCAATCAGAATTCATACTTGGTCACACCCGAAGCTTACCGAAGTAAAATCAGACGATGAAATTATTGCGGAATTTGTTTACACGGCCAAGGTAATTCATCAAGTTACTGGACAGGCAATTCGATATATTCGCCCACCTTATGGCCAATCCAACGCGCGAGTCCGAAGATTGGCCGCCACAATGGGCCTACAAGTAGTTTCATATATCGATACGCAAGATTGGATGCATTACAATGACCAGGTGAAAATGGAACCTGTGGTTATGGGCCATGTCAGGCAGTGGATTGCTGAGAATCGTACAGGCGAAATTACTTTGCAACATGATGTTTGGCAGTAAGTTTTTTGGTTGGGAGTCCAATTTGTTTTTGTAACAGGGTTTAATTTGCTAGGCCCGAAGTTACTGTCGCAATAAAAGCCATGGATGCCGTCATCAAGGCCGGGTACACCGTCATGCCGATTTATCAATGTCTCGAAGAAGATTCTCCTTACGGA